GGAGGGAGGTACCGGAGTCTGGAAGCCTATCTCTATTTAAGGGTCCACTGTAGCCAGGGTGTTGGGGGAGAAAGGGTGTTGCTTCCAAGGCTTCTCCCCCAACCCCGGTCTCTTCTCCAGGGCAGATAATCAACTTAGACCCACAGGAGCCCAGCCGCAATCAGGGTTCCTTGCCTCACCGGGGAGAAGAGGGAATAAGGACGTGAGGGACACCGTGTGTGGCTGTCCAGCACTCACAGGGAATGGACAGCCTCCCAAATAGCTCCTTCATCACTCTGCTTTTGAATTTTTATGACACAAAGTCTCAAAGATCTTGGTGAGAAAGCTACTGGGTGATTTGATAGTTTATTCCTTGGCAATTTGAGAATCAATATTCCTAACTGGTGAGTTTATAAGAGATATAATAATAAACTCTATGTGGCTGAATATTTCAATAAAAAAGGGTGTTCGCTGCCCTGGGGAGTGTGTGAAGCTGCCTGAGATGCTGGGAACCCCTTTCTTTTGTGCCAAGTCAAATGCCTTAGATTACAAAACACAAGGCACTTTGCACACAAAACAAAAATAGTGGTAATTTAGTATTAACTGACCAAAAAAATTTTCCTTTTTATTACCAATATACCTATCTTGGGGGATGATGATACTTTCCAAAAAGAGGCAGTCTGACACCGTAGTTGGGGCCTTGGACTGGATCTGCACCTTGCTAGGTGGGGACTCAGGGTAAGGAACTTTACCTCTCCCCTCCTCTGTTTCCTCCTGGGATGATACAGGGATAATGCTCCCTAGGATGGTGGGTTGTAACAATAACATGAGAAAAATGTTTGCAAAGTACTTACCACAGTGTCTGGCAGAGGTATGAATTAACAAAAATTATCTTAAGAATTTCAAGCCCCTAGCACGGGAAACTTCTGAGCTGAGGAAGACCAATTTCTGCCAATTTCACTGTCATAATTTCAAGGCTGCCTCAAGATACAATGTTATTTAAATGAATAATTGATTTTACTCTTTAGAAATAGGTCAAGTAAATAGGTAAAACCCATTCTTACTTAATGTAAATTGTCAGTGAAGCTTTTGGTCCAATCATTTTCCCTGCCAGGTTGTCTCAAAAAAGGAAAGGAAAAAGGACCCTTCATTTGTGGAAGAATTCTCGGAGTGTATGTGGTGCTAGAGTCTGGCGGGGCCTGGTCATCCAGAGGGGTGTGGCGGTACGACTAAGTTCACGGGCAAGGCCTCGCGCAGCAGCTCGTGACCACTGTAGCAGGCACAGGCTCTCAAATGTGAGTGGCTTCCCTCAGTTGGGTGAATCAACCTCCCTTTTGTGCCATAATTCATCTATTTGTAAATGAGGCTAAAAAAAAAGGATTTAATCTGAATTCTTAGACCAAAAGGTTGACAGGTCTTACGATGAAAGTCTTTTTTCTCCACATACATTTGTATATTTGTGTATAAGGTCATATTTTCATTGTTTCCTCTTAGTAGGCCAGTGACTGAAATGACATACCAATGTTAAGTGGCAGTGAGCTGGTGGTCCTCCTCAGCTGCAAGGGGAAAATGTAGCTACTATTTTCATAATAAAGTCACTGTCCTACATTATTCCCAATGGCTGCCATTAGAACACATCTTTCATTTTATTTGTAAAAGGAAAGGTGAAATGGTCAAGCAAATCTCCCTGCTATGCAAACTCAGGTTTGGAGAGAACTTCCAAGGCTCCAGTGTTCTCTTGTAACTTATTCTAGTCATGGAGATGGGGGTAAAGGCTTCACCTTTTCCATGAGATGGGTTTATGAGAACTCAGTTAATTGGGATTTGGGGGAAGTCTTTTTTCTTGGGTTCTACCTTTAAGGGTCAAGGTAACAAGGGTTTCATGTGGGGAACTGGAATTTCAATTTAAAGCACATTTGTGAGAAAATCTTTCATAAGGCAAAGGTGTATAGGTTGGCATAACTGGGTGGTTTAGAACTGGATAGTAATTTATTCTAGGATTATTTTATGAAAGTTTACAGATGGCTCAAAAATCTTGGGTCAGGTATGAGAGCTGGCACATGTTAATACAAAGGCAATAATAAAGATGTAATTTCTGGTCTCGGCTCTGTCCTCGCCTCAGCCTAGGCTGATAACACACTTTCTCTTGCTATCTGTTTCCTAATCAGGGATGATAATACTGTGCCTTTTGCACCTCACAGAAATGCCAATGAGATAAATGAGATGACATTTATGGAATAACTTGAGCTCTTTAGAAAGAAGTACTCTCTAAGCATAAGCTTTACACATTATATTCAGGAAATCATTTGCAAATGACCACGACCCCCTTCAAGCCCCGTTTCAAAACTCATTCCTTCTAAAAAAAACCTTTTCCTGATTAACCTCACCCATTCCATTCACTTTTAGCTCCTTGGCCTTACCTCCACATTGTATATTTCACTCTTGATCTATTACATTATCACATCATCTATCCAGCTGCCCATGCTGGAAAGCTCAGCACCATCCTGGCTCCTCCCCATCACTCACCCCATCTCCAGCTAGTGACAGTGGTCTGATCAGTTCCATCTCAGTGTCCTTGGACCCATGGCACTTCCATGGCACTGCCACAGCCTCAAGTCCACGTCCCTCTTCACCTGGTTGTCTGCCCTACCTGCTCACAGATCTTTCTCACTCTAGCCCGGTTCCTTTCCAACTCATCCTCCTCTGTGCTTTTGAGAGATCTTTAAAAAACATAAATCTGATCCTATCTACTCCCTGCTTAAAATTCTTCAAACTCCTTAGCTTAGCATATAAGACACTTCTTTCTCTGGTTGCCAGCCACCTCTCTGGCCTTAACTCTCACCACACTGCTCTACCAGCTCCATGCTAAGTTGTCCCAGAGGGAGTGATGCTTAAGTTGCGTTGTGAGGTCTCAGCAATTCGCCCAAAGAAGAGCTCCCTGTGTTTTCCTGGCTTCATGCTTTTGAGCTTTTGCACATGCTGTTCCTTTTGCCATCAGTGTCTTCTCCTTACCTAATAATTGCTAATGGTTTTCAAATTCTAGGTCAAGTATCACTTCTACCAAGAACACTTCAAGATCTCCCTCTGACCCCTTTCTGCATCTGCTTTCAGTGCTCATCCAGTGTGCTTCCACTGAATGAGGCGTACGATGCTGTCAAAATGCATCATTCTGTATTATAACCATTCGTTGATCTTGTCTCTTTCTCCTGATAAGCTATGGGTCCCTTGCAAGCAGGGACTACTTTTTGACTTTGTAGTCTGAGTGTCTGGCATAGAGCCAGGCACACAGTAGGTCCTAGGTAAATGTCTGCTGAATGAATGGATGAAATTATTACTTTGCATGAGTGATCAAGGATGAGCACAATATCAAAAATTATGACTTTAGGCCTTGTGGATAGGCAGTGACTCAAGAAGTCTACACAATTATGGTCAAAAACAGACCACCGTATTTGGTATCAAATATCATTTATAGCTTCTGATTTTTACTAAAAAATATATTTTTCAGTTTTCCACATTAACAAGTCATTTATTTGTTAATTGAAAATTATTTTCTTGGTTGAAACTACTCTTTCCAGAAAATTCTTCCCTTTTCTTTTACCACTTACAAGCCATAAAAAAGTTTAAACACAGGGTACTTATAAATTAAGTGCTGTGGAGTCCAGGATACTAAATAAGGCAAATGAAACTGTGCAATTTGTTTACCATCAGATGGACTTAGGGGTGCCCACAGCTGCAGAATCTCAGGGTTAGAAGGGCCCCTGGGTGTTGCTGGAGAGAGAGGAACTTACTCTCCTGCCCCCTTTCTGTAGCTGCTTCTAACAACAGGAATGAATAGACAGTGACCCATTCGCAGAGGGAGAAGAGTCTTCATATACAAGAAACCTGTAGTCAGAACAGCCTTCACTCAACCAAGTTATGTGGTCAAAACAAGGGAGGTAAAGGTTTCCATTCAGCAAAATTATCAACATACCTGCAGCGGTACAGACAAGACACTCTGACAGGTGTCTAGAAAGAGCATCTTTTGAAGCCCCAGGTGAAACTCAACAATTTCCAGCCATTCCCAAGCACTGGTTCCAGGAATGCCCTGGGGTGAGTGGGACTTAATTAGTGAAGGGCCTGTGGGCCAGCTGAGCCTACACTGGCCCTTCCAGAGCAACTGGCTGCCGGTTGTGAGGAGCTGTATTTACCAGGTCTCCTGGCTGCCTCAAAGAAAAGGTCCAAATAGTGCAGCAGTTACGAGCTTGATTCTGGGGTCAGAAAGGCCTGCGTTCAAATCCTTATTCTGCTACGTGCTAGCCATGGAACTCCTGGGCAAGTTACTTAACCTCTCTGAGCCTCAGTTTCCTTATCTGTAAAATGGGGGAAAATAGCATCTACACCTCAATACTATATGCCTGGAACACAATAAGTGGTCTAGTAATAGAAGTTATCATTATTACTAGCTATTTATGGTAATCCAAAGTAACACAAACTTATTAGGATTCCAATTCATACGCCACCTAGGTCAAATCATTTTTCCATCCTCTAAAAATAACATAAAGTGAAAGCCTGATGGAATGAGTGTTGGTCAGATGCCCTGCCGTCCTGTTCAGAGCTGTTAATTTGGGTTTCCATGTTGCCTGCGGTTCCATTCTCGGTGTTGTTTTACACCCAGTATTATAACACTGATCCCCCTTAAGAAACAGGAATCAGGAAGCTGTGATGCCAGCAGCATGAACAATCACTTTGGTATCCACTGCGCGCCGCCCCCCCTCAACCCAGTCCACCATTTGCTGTGAATTTCCTTGAGGGTTTGGGTGGCCTCACCCAGGACTCTTTGGCTGAACGAGAGAGTAAGATTCCTAGATTGGATTACAGAGGCAGCTGGCAGCCTTTCAACTAAATTCTATTTTATAAAGTCTATAAATTTACTCAAAATCAAGTTACCAGCTGGTAGCAGGGTGTATAAAACCATGGAGTCCAGGAGAGAAAGAGAGTACATTAGATTGAAATTTATCCAAAGGATTTAAAATGTGATTTACCTGTGGGCCAGTTCCTGGTTTCAAGTGAAAACCAAAAACAAGTTCAAGGTTCACTATTTTTTCCTCATTTTCTTCAGGTTCACCTACTGAGTCCTAAAACAGAAAACCAAGCACCATTTATTCTAGATAGCGTTTACACTTTTACTTCTCATGTAAAGGAGATGATTTCTCAGCACTAGTTTTTCCATTCTAATCTATTGTTTAACTTTTGGTTATTTTGGATTAAGCTACAGATTATAATTATTTAAAGCAAGAGAAATGACATCTTAAGCCTCTGAGAATTTTCCAAATGATTTATCTCATGAACTACAAATTAAATGTGACCATCTTACATTTTTCACAAAGCACCTTGCATTGTGCAATTTTACCCTAGAAATGCACTTAGCCCCTGGAGATGCACTGTGAGACTTCACCTTGAGAGTTCCACAGCACTCAAGATATACGCAAACTGTTCCCAAAGAGGAATTATGCAGTTCCTAGAGCAGATGCAGATGGAGGACCAAGCAGAGGAACAAAATGAACCTTCAAGGGCTTAGAGATGGAAAACCATAGTTGTTAGTGAATATGAGATCTGTGTATTAATTGCAAGTATCTACTAATTTTATAACAAAGTATGCTGTATACCTTTAGACTATATTCAAAATAATATGTTAAGTATACTACCATGTTATTCAAACAATAAACCTCCAAGCCCCCAATGCAAGGGATAATCCAGAGCTCTCATGTGAATTCCTTCAGTGGCTTATGTGTTGGACAAAGGTCTCCAGAGCCAGGTGGGAGGCCAGAGGACTTAACCCACAATGTTAGCACTTATATCCCCTAGCCATTAAGGTGACATGTGTTGTTCTTATCATGAATATATTGTTAATATTTCAACTTGCAGGGAACAAGGGTGTTCAATTTATGCACATCCTAAGCTTCACTCAAAGAGCCTTTTGTTGGACAGATATGATTATATTTTACTTCAAAGAACGGTTCCCGACATTAGCAAATTTAGGTGTGGATGTGGCAGGTGCATATGTCCATAAAAGTAGCGTACTCTCAATAAGAAAAAATCTTACTTACCTTAATGAGTGGTGGGAAGTGAAACAAGTTTAGGTAATCATAGGTTAACTTCTCAATGGCTGACTGCAAAAAAAAAAAATCACATGACTTTATTAATGCTCCGATAATGCCAAGAGAGGATTAAAATTATTGTGCACATATAAAGGCATTCTTTATTTAGTTCATAAAATATCTTGGGGATGTTAATATCCAACATCTATTGGGAATAAACCTGATTGTTCAAAGTATTATAGGTAGTTTATAATTATTTAATGGAACAGGAAGATATTTTAAAGACGTTAAATCTCAGACCAAACAATAAATCAAACCATTCTTCAAACACCGGTAGAGTAGTGACAAATTAATGTTCTAGTGTACAGAATGCAGTTGTCACCCTGAGTAACTGTGGGAAAAACAACAAAGAACATGAATGTATCACTAGAGACTTTCAATAAGGCTGAAATCTCACTAAAGGGTTTATTGCATTGTAGCAGCTTTTCTGTGGGTACACGTCCAAAGCTCCCTCCCCCAAGGAAGCACAAAGAACTCTGAAAGGAAAGGAGGACAATTTAAAAATTATGATTTTTTTAATACTCATCAGGTATAATCCAGCTTTTCTGTGAAGTGAACATATCACGTAGAGAGTAAAAAAGTGCCAACGCGAGAAAAATTAGATGCATTTTTTTTAAAGTGAAATAAAAGCTGTTGACACTTGACAATATAATGAACACTTACGGATGTTCGGCCCTGTTCCTTCTACACGGCCCCTCCACATGAGGGCTTCCAGGCACGGGGGAGAAGGAGCCAAGACAGGCTTGAAAGGACAACCGAGGAGCAAAAGGGTCGCTGGAAAGACGGCTCCAGTTTCCAGCTTTACGACCTACCATTTAAGGGCCGAGAGACTCTTGGAGAAGGTATACAAGAATGATCGTGCCTTCCTCAGTGAAGAGCAGAGAATGGCGAGCACATTCTCACCATCAGGGGGGGTGTGCGCGTGGGTGTGTGTGTGTCAGAAACACTTCTGACAAGTCCAGTAGGGCGCCTCTGATCTGGAGGTCCCACCAGGAAAGGTCCAGCTTGCAGCAACATTTATCCTCACTGCCCCAAGAGTGTATGCAGGACCCTCCCAGAGCAAGTTTCCACGACCCTTTCCCCTTCATCTTTCCCTCTCACATTAGCTTATTTGTCTGAAATACCCATGACCCAGCTGAGTTTAACGGAGTGTCACCTGTTGGCCGAGCTCCCCCGGGTGGCCACTAATTCAGCCCTGGCTCTGGCAGTTAGGTGGACGGTCCATAGACCTGACTTTTGAGACTCATCCCTCTGGGAACTGTATTTAAGTGAACACGCAGACTCATCCAGGAGCGTCAGGGAAGTCTTGGGTCCCCCACAGACACTGGCTACCCCCCTCTTTTGGAGCTCAGGGCAGACGCTGCATCAGGAGCAGAGGACACTGCTCTGGCCCCATCCCAACTGGCTGCTTCCAACGAGGGCTTTTTCTCTGTGCATGTGTTTCTTGGCTTCTCTGCAGCTTTAGACCCAGTTTTTATAAAGCTTTTCCAACCTTCAGCTCTGTGACACCATTCTCTCCTCCTCTCCCCACTTCCCGGGCAGGCACTCCTCTCTTCCTCCTCTGCCTCCTGCCCAGGCTCTGACCTCTCCTGGCCACATGCATCCTTGCTGAAGGCACATCGTCCATCAAAGAGAGAAAGCTTCCCAGCTGGAGGAAGACTGCTCGTGGTCAGGCACGTACGTGTAGCTGTGCTTTCTTTCTTTTTATTTATTGAGGTGAAATGCACATATCATAAAATTAACCATTTTAAAGTGTGCAGTTCAGTGGCATTTAGTACCTTCACAGTGTTGTGCAACCACTGCCTCTATCTAGTTCCAAAACATTTTCATCACCCCCAAAGGGGACCCTGTACTCATTAGCACTCACTCCCCAACCCCTCCTCCCCCAGCCCCTGGCAACCACTAATCTGTTTTCTGTCTCTATGGATTTACCGATTCTGGACATTTCACATAAATAGAATTATACGATACGTGCCCTTTCGTGTCTGGTGTCTTTCACCCAGCAGGATGTTTATGAGGGTCGTCTATGTTGTAGCGTGTCTGCACTGTGCTTTCCTTCTTGAACCTGCAGACAGCTCTCTCCCCCGTGGTACCCTCCCCTTCTCTCCGTTCACATTTCACACTAGCTAGGCCTTATTGCTCTATATTCTAACGTCCGAACTGATCTGTCAAAACCCAGCCTCTCCTTTCTAATCCACTTTAGAACTTCCAGAAGCAAACTTTTAAACGTGTCAATTCTCAGACATTCCACTCCTCCCCACAGCTGGTCAGGTTCCAGATGCCTGACCCGAAGTGGTAAGCTGTCAGGATCTGGCCCCACCTCCCTTCTGCTTTGTGGATCAGAAGGTCTGCTCCGCGCCTGTGCTTCCATCAGACAGAGCTGCTTACTGTTCCTTGTATCAGAACCATTTTTTCCTGTTCCTTTACATTCCCTTCTCTTTTTCTCTCTTAACTCCTTATTCTCTGTCTAGATTGACATTCTTCCCTTTCTCGCTCCTGCCTACATTCCAAATTTTGTCTTTCCTCCAAGATCCAGCTCAAGAGCCACCCCCTCCACGAAGTTTTCCCTCTCTGCCCCCCACTACCCCTCCCAAGCAGAGGTGATGAATAGCTCCTTTCCTCGGAACTGCTAACACTCTCTATTATGAGAAGCTGTATGTACATGTTTTATGTCTTCTCTGGGACATAAATTCCTTAAGGGCAGGATTCTTCTTTGTTTCATCACAGGCCCAGTGTTGCAATTCATAGGCATTCACTGAATTTGTTGAACAATGATCAGTAAGTTTGGACCCAGCTTGCCTTAATGCTACCAACCAGCATAGAGGGGGCACTTCATCCTAGGCCAAGTCTGGGAATATTTAAATCACTATGGCTTTTGGTGAGGTATCACAGCTTGCCACCCCCTTTCCCCGACTGCTCCTTAAGGAATGTTGGGCCTTTTTCAAACACAGCAGAGAGGAAGGGGAGGTGGGAGTATCTTATGTGGCATCTGCCAAACAGGACAAGATTTACCAAGTTTCTCTTTTGAAACTCTGAAATCTCTCTGTACTAAAGAAAATAATTTTTCCTACCATAGCCCATCTAAACCAGCACAGCTTTTCAGGACGGACTTGCCCACACTCAGAGGCTGAGATTAAATTCTTTGTCTGCCTTTGAGATGAATGTTCATGCATGAGGTTTCCCACCCATCTTCTGAGAGGGAAGAATGATGAGGCCCTAATGTCTGTCTTGTAGATGGTGTCTGGTGGGTTAAGGCTAAGCCATCATCCAAGGGGTGCTGAGGGGCTGTAAGGATGCTCCTTACACAGAAGTGGATGGGTTCTCTGGGCTTCAGGGGGGATTCCCTAGAAAGGCCAGCGTGGGTTGCTCTAACTGAAGTGAAGGGAAAGGCATACTGGTGGAGTCGTTGTGAAGATGTGGATTGGGACAGGAAGCTGCTTTTTCTACGTTTCCTTCTTTATTCTGTTTCTCTTTCTTCTAACCTGTGCCCACTCCTCTGTCCGCCCACACTGGGGTAGAGGAGGTTTGGGTAGCAAACTTGATTTTATCCCAACATCTCTCTTGACACAGACCTCTGATTAATAACAATGTCCACACAGATGCCAGCAATTCTCACTTGGTTTGAGTAACTAAAAAACAAAACAAACAAAAAACAGACCTGGTTGCTAAACTGCAGAAAAAGCGACAACAACAAAAACAGAAGTTTAGCTTTGAAACTGTTTAAGACTGAAGTTTTGGGGGAAATGTTCAGATTTCCCGAGAAAATGGGGGATTAGAATACACACGTGATGTGTCTGTTCCAGGTCACAATTACGAAGACTGCAAGTCCAACACATTCCCATGATTGTGGCACTGCGGTGGCTCAGGGTGCACTCAAGCCGTGGACCAGTCCCGGCGTCCTTTGGGATTCCTAATGCATATCTAGCCTCTCCAGTCCCCTCCTGCTGTTCCTGGATGGGATGGCAATTCTCCAGGCGCCACACGGCCTTATTTCCAGGTCTCTGGCATACTAAGCTTTCTCCTACCCCAAGGCCTTTTCATGGGCAGTTCTTTCCCTGGAACACTTCTTCCTCCCCTCCCCTTCACCTGGTTAACACCTACTTGTCCTTCAGCTCTCAACTCCTTCATAACTTCTTCACAGAAGCCTTTCCTCATCCCAACCTCACCTCTCTTTGTGACATTCCTTACAGCTGTCATTTTACCATTATTGCCCTATTAATATCCATCTTCTCCACTAGACTAGAGACTTCCTGAGGGCATGGGGTGGTATTCAGGTGTATCCAGGTGACTTCTGCTCTGCCAGGTATTAACATTCTGGTTGTTGGATTATGAGGAGGGAGTACGGAGCATATCCATAGGGGCAGCTGCTAATTATCGACTGGTCTGGAAGTATTGCAGCACTGTACCAACCAGCACAGCGCGTTTCCATCCTCAGCCTCTAACACAACACACGATCTGCTACATACTAAGCGCTCAGTAAAGATTTGTTGACTGAACGTTCTCCCTTTCGGAGGTACCTTTAAATGAATGATGTGCCCCTTGGAGACAATGCCCATGTCTTTTAAGTCTTCTTCCTCCAGAAGCAGCAGTCGCTTTCCCGTAATGTTGTTTTCCTTAAACAAGCTTGCATATACGCTCATCTCTGCTGAAGAGTCACCTGAAGGAAGTGATTAGAAGGCAGCATAACATTAGACTAAATCATATCCAAAGTAAAGTTAACTCCGTGAATTAAGAAGGTAAGTCATTCCACTTGCCTTTTCTGACGAGCTGCTGAATCCAAAAATACTGTGAAAGAGAGGACATATATGGTTTTGAAGATTCATACATGGTCAGTGGCCATACTAAGTAAAAACACAGTTTTCAATAGATTAAAGTACCTTTCATTCTTGGCTCAACCACAAATGGAAGATTTTCTCTTTATAGTTTTAAAACTTCAAGCTTTCAAATTGGAGATATCCCTCCCTTTGGGGGTCTTGGACACTCTAGGAACCATTGGTTTTCCTCCTTATTTGGGAGATATTTAAAAATCCTTTCAAGAAGGTTTTTACTTATAATGATTTTTCCATTTATGAGCCCGTGGTCCCCTGGGTTCTTGAGGGGCTCTGGCTTACCCAGGAATTGTATGAGTAACAGGGACCATACACCAGTGGACGGAGAAACGGGTGGAACGTATCCTCTGTTCCAGGCCTGGTAGTGAACTAGTTATGTGGCCCAAGATAAGTTACAGCATGCAGCTTCCTATAGAGAATGAGGTTGGACCCAGTGACCCTCAGTCCTTGAATTTCACTTGGCACATGTTTACTGGTAGCTTCTCACATTCCCCGGGTGAAGGGAGGCCAGATCCAGTCCCACCAAATCTCTGGGGAGCCCTTGACCCTGGAATTTTATTTAAATAGCTTGAAAACCACTCAACCTCAGAGCAAAGACTAAAAATAGCTGTTAGAGCTCAGTGTCTTTTAAAAAATTTCTTCTCCAATGAGATGAGCCAACTTTGCAGCTGCGGGTAAAAGGATTTATATTCAGGCCTGTGAATAAAGGAGATCCTAAGTCCTCTTTCCTTGTTAAGCAGGGCTGGCAGGAAGTTGAGAATCACCGGGGCTCAGTGAATGAGAAGCAGCAGAGGCAACTGGTGCCAAGTTTCCTTACCTTGTAGAAGCCAAAGAGGTTAGCTAACGTTGAAAGCAGTTTGACTTCACCAGAGTACAAAGGGCAGGGAGGGAAATGCCCTGGCCCAGAAACCAACTTGAGTTAGGTCAACAGACCTTCCCAAGAGTTTCTAGTACTGAGTTTGGACCTTGTGGCACCTGGTCTGTTCCCTGGGGTGGGGACCTGCTAAGGCTGGCATTACAGTGTTTTTCTCTTTTTCATTCAATGATACTTGAGCTTATAAAATGGACCTGGACAGGCATAAGCCCCTGAGGTCTCTAGTCAAGAATTCTCAGACTTGTTTTTCAGTAAGGAAACAGATATAGAGATGCAACAGGCTAAGAAGGATTGTTCCTCAGCGTCTCTACCCAGAATGTAGGGTGTAGGACTTTCATTGGACTTCAAGTCTGTCCCCATTCTCTTAAGAACCTGGGGCTTCTCTGACTCCAGCTGCAGAGACTGTCTGGGACCTCACGTCCACTCCTCTTTGGGAAGGCCAGAGTAAAGATGGCAAATATGAACTGTCACTTTCGAACAGACCTAAGGTGGGAAGGAAACCCACTCCAGTGGAGTCCCAGTCTAGCACTACCTTTACCAGATCTCTGTCCACCGTGGTTCAAGTCCATCCCTGGTATTTTAGGAAAACTTAAGATCAATTTTTTTTTCCACATATATTCATTTTGTATCCTGGATCACCCCTTTAATTTTGTCATTGGTATTCATTATTGTATTCTAGAATACCTTTCAGAGCAAATGGGGGTAGAATCCTCTTGTAAGATTTGAAGAGATACTTGCTTTGCTCTTGAGGCCTTATTTTAAATCATTACTGCATTAAAAATAGAAAAACATGGAATTTGTCAACTTCTCCTAGTTAGACTTTTGTAAGGCCCAAACTCCTCTAGCATCGTTTTTAACTTGTGAACAAATTTGTGAAATACCTGCCCAGGTCAAATGAGACATTAACAGAAGCAGCTTACCACGTCATCTTCGGTCCATGAGCCAATCTCAAAGGAAGGCAGCAGCTGCATGGGAAATACAAATAAAATGAAAAAAAAAAAATAGGAATATTATCATTGTCTTTGTGGTTTATCCCCTTGACTCACTATTTTAGCTCTTGGCCACTGCTCTGGCTTGGTTCCTTCTGCAGGTTAAGCTGAATGGAAAAGAGTTCTCCTGACCTTAAGAGGAATTTCTCAGTGTTTCAAGGATTTGGCCCCCAGAAGCCAATCACGTGGATCAACCACTCAGTAACAAATCACTGCACTTTGTGAGCTGTTGCAGTGGGACTTTGTACATCTTGGGATCTTCCTCTCTTGGTCTTTGGCATCAAGAGTAGTTTTACATCCCACAACAGGGCTTGGTGGTCAAGGAATTTTTGACATTTGTCAGATACCAGAGCCTTCCTGTGAATTCTCAGTCAACATGAGGATCGTTTGATTATTAACGAAAATTTCCAGAGCAACCACTTGGTAACCAGAGGACTTACATGGAGAATTTCTCTTACAGGAGAATTTCTAAGTATTTAACTACATGTCTCACTTGCAAAACCAAATATTAGGACCCATGTATGAAAACGGATAAGTAAAATGGGTACTGTCCTAAGAAACTGTCCTAAGTTTCTGTCCTAAGGAAGTGTCTAGCTTGCTGAGTTGCTCTAACTAAAACTAAACTAAACTAACCTCCCTCCCTGTCAGGTGCATAGCATGAAAGATGACTTTGCAAGAGGACTTCAGCCTTCACCATTTTCAGAGCCAAAGGGCTGCTCACTTCCATATATGCCCCATAGCCATAGACTAAATGATAAATGCCTACATAATTTGAAAAAAATCTGTGTGTCTGGTGCATTGAATTAGAGTTTGGTATAGCCGTTATACCAAAGCCATTGATGGGGTAAAGCCATTAGCTTTAATTAATTTAACTTACCAAAATGGTTAGCCTGCTCATGAGATAACGTGGCAAAATGTCATTCATTTGTGGGTGAGTTGAAAAAATAAAGCTGTATTTGGTTGCTTTTTCTATTTAGTATAAAACCAGAGGGTGGGTGAATTAATCCTAATCTGCAGGTATTTTGAACTCACATGCTCAAAATCCTGCAAGGAAAGGCACACTCCTGCCTTGAAGGAGTTTTAATTTAATTGGGGGTGAAACAGATGTGGATTATACATGGAGGAATTCAACGCCACCTTCATCTTGGTCTACTCAGCGCCTAGCAGAGTGCATGGCATACAATACCTGGTAAATTTTTGTTGAACAATCTGTTGAATGAATACAATTGAAGGGTACATTTGCTAAAATGCTAAATTCTCTGGTGTAGAGTTCAATGTCTATGGGTATACCAGGGAGAAGGGAGGGTTTCATAGACTAGGATAGAGGAAGAGCTGGGCATTGCAGGGCAAGAAGAAGAGAGGTGCTTCTGGGTGAAGAGAAGCAACAAGGCAAAACACTGGCAGTGGAGGGGGGAGGAAGAGGAGGGAGGGATGGGCATGCACGGTTGCCTAACTGGAGTACTGTATGCAGTGGGTGTGTGTCCATGGATAAAGGGAAACGAGGCCAACTCTGAGGGGCCAACCAGAATTTTTTAAAAACCCATGGTTACAATAAATATGAATGTGTTTGAGTATTATAGATAAATTGCAAGGGCATAAATCGCTACTATGCTATATATACTCTGCTACCCCCATGTGCTCCGATTCCCTCAGGATTGTCCCTTCCCTCCTCTGAAATGCCTGATGTCTGTAGGAATCGTCACACACACTCACCTGCTTTAATAATGCAGAAAGGAAAATGACTTGAGGAATAGAATCTAAAACTGAACTTGACCAGAGAAAATACATGACAAGTTTTATTTCTTCACAGGGCAGCTGGCTATAGCTGCAGAAACATGTCATTCCCCTTTCCCATCACGGAAACAAATGTGAAATAAGGAACTTTTTTGATTAGTTCAAGAAATAATAAACTGAGCTACAGAAATATTTCCCTGCATCAAGGCTGGTTTTTATAGTGAGTAGGGGGATGTGTAGTGTTTTGATTTTTATACATTTCCCAAATGTTGTGCTAATCAAAATTGATAAATAAGTAATTCTTGAATAGAATACAGGTTGTAAGTGAAACAACTAATCAAAACCAGCATCTTTGGTTTTAATGTCAAAAGGAGAGGAGAAGAGTTCTCTTGCACTCTGAGGATGGCTCATCAAGATGACGCCAAGGGGAAGCACTGGCTTCGGTTTGATACCCGCTCCGGCAGGATTCTTGCACGATGCTTGCAAAGATCAGTGAGAGGAAGGCTGGAGCCAGGCACTGCTTCGAGACGGTTTGAATGTGGCAAGACAGGAGATGAGAGTTAATGACCTCCAGCCACAGAGTGGCTTACTGCTGCTTTTATGTTTTCTGTCCCCTGTTAACATATCAGTGTATCTGCTGCGGGGTGAGTTCTAAGTCTTTCTGTCTGTCTTTGGGGATAAAAAAATAACCTACCTTGGGACTGCCTTTACAAATTCATTATTTACACTCCAACTGATTTTAGGAGAGAAAAGCTCACACTCATGTGCATGCATGTGACAATGATTCCTTCAAAGGATGTTGGGAATCCAGTCTAACAAAGATCTGATGTACACAGCAACACATAACAAAGGGATTTACTGTCAAAACGTTTATTGCAAAATGGAGTCTTAGAACAAAGGAAAGCAAAGAAAAGTTCACATCAAAATGAAATGTATGACACCACGCTGGATTTCTGAACACATTGTGGACTTTGTGCTGGAATATCAAATTCCAGCTATGAAGTCAACAACTAGTAGTCTTACCACACAAGAGTAAAATGTAATCTTCCATACAAACATTATACAAGATATTTGGCATAGGACTTGCTCAGAATAACATTGCAATAGAATAATTGAGAAAAGGGTTTTGTTAAAAAAAAAAAGTGATAATGCCATCTATTCAAAGCTTACACTCAAAGAATATAAATATTTTCTATTATTTAGTACAAAAATTTTTAGAAAGTGCAGAAGCAATATGTGCAGTGTATTGTATCTGACATTAAAAGATATGCTATTCTGCACACGATATAAAATAATTAACGTTAAGTGCTTGAAACTCTAGTTTTGAAGTAAATAATCACATGCCAGAAAGCTCCTCACAAGCAAGAGAGTGCAAACTAAATTGGGATCCGAGGAATCACAGCTAGTCCTCCAGATTTCCTGGTAGACACTCATTTCATCACAGAAATGCTACATCTGGATCTATCAGGCTTTGCTACAACCAAAAGAATAGAACAGGTTCTTCTCTCTGGCAATGCTTAAAATCTAAACAGGAAAACAGTCTTACTCAAAAGCAGCAAAAGGTGCCTGATTATAGAAAAATTATGCTCTTTTATATATATGGCATGGTGAGACTCTGCTAGTTTCAAAATGCTGCAAGTCTAGTGGATCAAAAATCAAAAAAAGTATCAATATTTAACTCAAAATAAGTTTTAAAATTATCTTTCAGGAAATTCTTACCATTCTAATGAAAACTCTGAAAAATAAAGTTATGTGCATTATAGTGCTACGGGAAGTCATTCTGGATCTCTCCCAAATCTTCTCCCACCCCTGATTCCTTGATTTTAATGGGGATCAAGTCTGAATACCTCAGCTGGTGTTGAAGTCTAATCCATCTACTGCATGTTAAAAATCACTGGCTAAAAACCAACTCTCAACACTTCCAGAGCATCCAAAAGAAGCAGGCTATGTGGCTTCAACCCCTTCCCATTGGTTATCTATGTAAAATATTAAAAGGTGATTTTGCTAATAAAAAAAAAAAAGACTGTTAGGAAAAGGGTCCTTTTAAACTAACCTGGCTACTGTGCAGAACTGTAGCTACCTCAATGATATTTTTCTTTTATATTTATTGTGGAATTAGCGTAATAGGAGAGTGACCCCCTTCTCCCCTCCCCAGGTAAATTTAGCTGTTTCACAAAGTTTCCACCAGCATTCTTAAGGGGGAAAGAAACCATTTCCACAAGTGGGGATTTGAGATAAATGCCCAAGACCTACAAAATTCAGATTGTGTAGTAGTTATAATTTGAAAATGCATCTTTTGCCTTGTGTAATTTTGTTTGGGGAAAAAAAATTAGAGGTGGAACTCTAAAACTTCCAGGTTTAGCAAGATCTCAAGGGGGGAAGAGACAACGCTACAGGTATTTGGGATGGAATTCTTTATCGGGTGGGACTGTCCCTGGCAGGTGGGATGTTACCATTTTTGGCACCGGCCATTAAATACATCCCCAGTCACCGTGACAACCAAAAATATACCCCAGCACTCCCCAACACCATTAGGTGGCAGCACTACTCAGTTGAGAACCACTAGTAGGATGTCATCAAATTCTACATGATCAACTTTGTGAATAAAGAAAAAAAGATGAAATAGTAGTTGTATTTTCAGTTGTATGGCTGTGAGAATTATTACAATTTAGAGTTTCAGTTCTCATTCTGAATCTTTAAATTTCTCAGTGTTTCTTTAACTCTTTATAAATTTAGTTTTTTGTAAGTCAAGTAATTGGAAACAAATCCAACACCAATAATTGGCCTTTTCAAAAGCTGATCTGAAAAGTGAATTAGAAACTGCACAATTAACATCATCATTAGAAATTCTGCATATGGCTGATAAACGTTTCTTATTAAAATTAATAAAACTAATAGAGTCTAAAGTCTTCAAATAATCTTCACAGATAGAGTGAGACCATTTTAAAATTTTGTTTATATGATTCAGATTTCAGGGATGTTCAAAACCCTGGAAAAATACTGATTGGAACAGAAAGTAAAATAGCCAATGCCATACGGTAATTACTTATAGTCCAATTCTAGGCGGAGAACAAATTTCAAGTTTATCCCTGAGGTCATCAATTCTGCTGTATCCTAAGTCCCTGCAGTTGCTTGATGATAAAGTATTGTGTACTACAACCATCTCTGGAATACTGGTGAGGAAAACGGCTCAGCTGAGAGATGAGAGAAATATTACTAATTAATAGTAATCCTATGTCTGG